AGACCTAACCTGTGCGATCTAAAGTAAAGTTACTTCCCTACTTTATAAATCACCATTACTGTGGAACCGGTGGGCGGTTAGAAAATTTTACTACTAACAGAGTTACAAAAGTGGGCAGTAGGTATAAAAACGTTGACTACCCCTGCCCTACAGCAATAAAGAAGCATTTATGGAATCCCTGCAATGTAACTTCTTGACCTACATATCTCAAAGGGCTGAGTATTTCAGTCTTCACCCAGCGCTCTGGCCATGCCTGTGATAACAAGTCTTCTGTTGCATTGGCTAAGAGCCCAACCACTGAGTTGCTCCCACATAGCAGTCTCTTTGCTTTCCCTTGAGAGACTCCGGTCCTTAGTGGCGACACCTGTGAGCTTTGGTTTCAAAATGTCCCGCGACGATCCTATTGAAGAAAACCACCCTTTTCCTAGGAATAGCAGATCCATCCTTCTTACAAAAGGAATGAGAGCTGTTGCTGGAACACTTGCAAGAAGGAGGAAAACAGGGATCCAGGGCCCAGGGCAGAAACAAAATGGCGGTCTCCATAGAGGACATTGCTGCAGGGGGTGCAAGAAACTAGAGTTATGGCGGATTAGTAAGAGGTTAATGTTTTAAACTGTGGGATTTGTGTTTCTCAGTGAACAATGCTGGTGTGGGGCTCATTGGACCCCTGGAAACCATCACCATCGATGCCATGAAGCATATCTTTGAGACCAACTTCTTTGGTGCCATCCGCATGATCAAGGCTGTGCTCCCTGCAATGAAACAGCGCCAGAAAGGGCATATTGTGGTCATCAGCAGTGTGATGGGGTTGCAAGGTATGAACTGTACTCCTGGCTGGAGGGGGGGAGCGGGGTGGGGTGTGGGGTAGAGAAGAAGCAGAGCCCTTATTCTAAATCAATGCCTTTAAAAAGCCTTGTCCTAGCTCTCTAGACTTTATGGGTATAAAGATTATTATGGATATACAGATTTCATGGCCTCTTGTGAGATCATATTCCCAACCTCACATCCCAACTTTCAACATCAAAGACAGAGTACATTCATTAAAAATATTCGGAACAACTCCAATGTTCACATTTGCATCTCATCTAATATTGGCGAATGACGCTCTGCATGTGTCGAGATAATGCACAATTCTGGCTTTACTATAAGTCTCCTTCTGTCCCTCATTACAAAATAACTATTTACACAGGCGGTAATGTATAGCTCCCATTTCAGTGTCTCGGTGCCCAACCAGCCAATAAGTCCTCACATTTCTGAGTGCAAAATTCTCGTTTAACAATCTTCCCCTGTTTTAGCCTATTGGACTTCAGCCTTCTAATTTCCCTCCATACAGACTTAGCACATTGAATGGAAGTAGAAGTCCATCACTTCTGGAAGACTGATTTTTAAACAATTCAGTGGAATCCTAACGTGCTACAAAACAAAGCACCAACTTCAAGGTTCATCTTGATTTCCGAGGATGCCGCTGAATTCTATATTGATTTCAGAGGCACTCTGATTTTTTAAAAAAACAACTCATGATGGCTGAAAATTAGTTCTTTGTCTAAATATGGACCCATTTCTCTCAAAATAAAATGGCAAATCAAAGTAATCTGGAAATTATAGGGGCCCTACCTACCATTTAGGGCAGGGGTGAAATTCAGCAGGTTCTGGAGAACCGGTAGCAGAAATTTTGAGTAGTTTGGAGAACCAGCAAATACTACCTATGGCTGATCCCAGAGTAGGGTGGGAATGGAGATTTTGCAATATCCTTCCCCCAGGAATGGGGATTTTGCAATATCCTTCCCTTGCCACGCCCACAGAACCGGTAGTAAAAACATTTGAACTTCACCACTGATTTAGGGGACGCGGTGGCTCAGTGGCTAAGACGCTGAGCTTGTCCATCAGAAAGGTTGACAGCTCGGCGGTTCGAATCCTTAGCGCCACGTAACAGAGTGAGCTCTTACTACTTATCCCAGCTTCTGCCAACCTAGCATTTTGAAAGCATGTAAAAATGCAAGTAGAAAAATAGGGACCTTAGATGGGAAGGGAACAGCGTTCCATGCACCTTCGGCATTTAATCATGCCAGCCACATGACCATAGACAGTGCTGGCTCTTCAGCTTTGAAACAGAGATGAGCACCACCCCCTAGAGTTGGGAACGGTTAGCACATATGTGTGAGGGGAACCTTTACCTCCCATTT